GTTAGTGATCAGATGAGATCAGTCGATGATAGCTCACCTTAAAGAAGCTGTTGGGGCAATGGAAGAGGAAGAAGAAGGATGGGATGAGGAAGAGGAAATGGGAGGATGTAAGGTTCAAATTATTATGCTTCACCTGCAACTGCAACTGCAACTGCAATACCAACTGCAACACGAGCTGCAAGAGAAAATGGGAGAATGTAAGGTTCAAGAACTATGCTACACCTGAAACTGCAATTGCAACTGCAAGTTTAACTGCAACTCCAGCTTCAACTGCAATTCTAACTGCAACTCCAGCTTCAACTGCAATTCCAACTGCAAGAAGAAATGGGAGAATGTAAGGTTCAAGAACTATGCTACACCTGAAACTGCAATTCCAACTGCAAGAAGAAATGGGAGAATATAAGGTTCAAGAACTATGCTACACCTGAAACTGCAATTGCAACTGCAAGTTTAACTGCAATTCCAGCTTCAACTGCAATTCCAACTGCAAGAAGAAATGGGAGAATATAAGGTTCAAGAACTATGCTACACCTGAAACTGCAATTGCAACTCCAACTTCAACTGCAACTCTAATTTCAACTCTAACTTCAGCTGCAACTCTAACTGCAACTGCAACTGCAGCTGCAACTAAAGCTAATTGCTAAAAAGTTTTTGTTGTTTTAAAATTTGCTATAAGATATGGATGATAGATATTTCAACCTATGACATTTGTGAAAGATTAACTCTCTCTCTCTCTCTCTTTGCTATAACTGCTATTTCCATCTCTTCTAATCTTATCTTTTATCTGTCTTTTTTTATCTCTTCTCTCTATCATAGAAGTTTAAATTTAATTATCAGCACTGATGCAGTGGAACAGCAACAAAACGGAACATATATTTAAACTAATTTTGATGATATTTCAACTTTTCTATTACTTCTTTCACTCTCTCTCTCCCTCTCCCTCTCTTTCTCTTTCTCTTCCTCTCTTTATTTTTCTCTGCTTATTTTCTTATCTATTTTAATGGGAGAAGAAAATTTACTGCTTCAATCTATTTTAATGTTGTAATCGATCAAATTCCAGCTTCTTCAACTCATTTAGCTTATTATCTGTCATTCAGTGTACCACACATACACACATACAGACAGACACATACACACATACAGACAGACACATGCACACATACACACATACACATACACGTACACGTATACGTAAAATATTAATTTAAATCGGTTTAAAGCAAAATTAATAATGATAGTTGTCGAGATTAAACTTTCAAATATTTGTTTCTGTGAGAGAAAAAGGAAAGTTAAATTGTTATCAATTAAAAATTAATATTGAAATGATATTGCTACTTTCACTGTTAATTGATTGATAAACTGATAATATCCACTGATAAGTATGCTATTCATTTTATTTATTTAAGTATATTTATTACAATTAAAAGATAATTCATTTAATTGTAGAAATCAAAAATGCATTCAATTATTTGAAACAGAAAATTAATTTAGCTTACAAAATTATCTTATCAATTTGATTTACAATTTAAATGAAAGAAATGAATGAAAGAGATCAATTTTAATGTTCAAATTTCATCTTTCTTTGTTTATTTCTGAAAAGAAAAAAAATTTTTTTTTTTTTGATCTAAATCAGATTAGAAGCAAATGAATCATATACTAAGTATTATTGATAAGAAATGTTAAGTACTGATAAGAAAAAAAATTTTTTTTGTTTGATCTCTTTGCATTATGCGAAATTAATAAAATAGCCAAATGAATAATTTCGAATGGAAATCATATCAAAAAAATGACAAAACAATTATAGTTTATTGATAAATGATAAAATTTTCAATAAATTTAAGATAATTTTATCAAAAATTCAATAACATAAATTACAGTTACTATTGAAAAAAATAATTTCTTTTTTATTTTTTTAAAAAATTGAATTAATTTTTTGGCTTTCCTGTTTTTTTTCTCTTTGCGAAAGTATAAAAATAAAAGATGGAAAATAAGAAAAGCAAAAATCGAATACAAATTGGATTATAAAATATCGAAATGGAAAAAAAAATTTTTGATTTTCAAATGATGAAGAAGCTGCGAAAGCCATTAGCGATTTCGCTTTATTCCATATTTTGCGATACTGAAATTTAAATCATTCAAAATTTTATGCAAATTTTAATTTCAGTAACAAAAAAAAAAAAATGATTTTCAAGCGATGAAGACATTGCGATTTCGGTTTATTCCATATTTTGCGAAACTGAAATTTAAATCATTCAAAATTTTATGCAAATTTTAATTTCAGTAACAATTTGCAAACCAAATTTGTCTCAAATTTTAATTTAAATCAGTATATATATTAAAATTTCATTATTCTTTTCTCCTAAACAAATGCAATTTTATTGAAATAATCGTTTCTTGTTGCTAATGGAGTGAAATTATTTCTGTTGAAATTATCAGTGCAATGAATTTTTCAAATTTCGAATTTTTTTTTTTTTTTGAATTTTTGATTTGATGTTTCGAAATTACAGACATTCAATTGGAAAAAAAAAACTTTAATTTTGTCTATTTGAAATCCGTTTTTTTCGTTTAATCCAAATAATATTATTTAGATAACACAAATCAAAAAGATAAATGACAAATTTTAGAAAACATTAATCTAATAAAAGGCAAAAAAAAAAAAATTTCAATAAAAAATTTTCATTCTTTTTTTTTCTAATTTTATTTTTTTAATTCAATGAATGATTATTAGTATTTACTAACAGTACTGATAATACTGATTAGTAATGATAACAACGCTTAATTCAATTTTTAAATTACATTTGTTAATTTGCATATTTCATTTTTATGCATGCATATAATTTGTAATAATTAATTTATTACAATAATCTCTCTGATAATGTTTCATTCTTCATTTGTGATAGTAAATGATAAGTGAATAAAATGCTAAGTTAATATTATCAGTATTATCACTACTATTATCACTTTCATAATAATAATTAATAATTAAATATTATTATTATTAACAGGTAAAAATTTAATTTGTTTTCTAAATATTTTTTTTTTTTGAATTTAACAGAAAAAAATATTTTTTTTAACATTTATTGATAACTTTAGTAAGATAAAGCTGATAAAATAGTGAAAGTTTGAATAATACCTCAAATTTTGCAAAAATTTTTGCATTGAAACCATTGAAATCACAAATAATTTTTAGTAATCGGATGAAAAATGTGATGGATATTTATGTCTGAAATAATGAAAGCTTTTGATTAAATTATAATTATTATCTCTCTCTCTCTCTCTCTCTCTCTCTAATTCTAAGTTATCATCGTATACTTATCATTTTAAATCATTTTGTTTTACATTTTTATATTTAAATTAATTTCTTTTTTGTCTTCTTCAAACATAAATTTCAATTTAAAATTTCTAATTCTAAGTTATCATCGTATGCTTATCATTTTAAATCATTTTGTTTTACATTTTTATATTTAAATTAGTTTCTTTTCTTCTTCAAACAATTTAAAATTTTTCCATCTTTAATTGAAGTGATAAAAAATGCTTTCATTTGTTAGCAAAAAGAAATTTTTTGTAGGATTATTTAATTGATAGAAGTAAATGTAATCTATGAAAGATGAAATTTCAACATTTGATAATGAAATTAGAAAATTTTATCAATTCGGTAAATTAAATATGAAATTATTAAAGAAACATTCCTTTCATTTACAATTTAGCATTTTAATTCGTTCCTTTTGTTGCATTATTAAATTTAGCGAAAATTATTACTTATTTGTTGGTATTTTACAAAAAAAAAAAATTAAAATATTTAGGAATGAAAATAATCATATCATTAATTCATCGTTGATAAGTCGTATTATCACTATCACTCATTGAAAATATAATAAATTAGAAAATAGCAGCAGGAAATTTGAAAGAAAATTCGGGAACAATCTATATATAATTGTATTTATGTAGCGTTGTGATTGTGATAATGTACTGATAAGGAAAATTATATTGCTAATTGATTATAACTGATAATTGTTATCAGTTATAACTGATATTGATTACGACTAATATTGGTAATTGTTAACTGATATTGATTGCATTGGTAACTGTTAACTGATATTGACCATAACTGATATTGATAATTGTTAACTGGTATTCATTATAACTGATATTGGTAACTGTTAACTGATATTGATAATTGTTATCAAATAAATTAAAAATAACTTTTAATTTTAATTTTTTTTTTTGCATTTTTTTTTTTTTGTTTTTTAGCAAATAAATTGATGAAATGAATGTTTCAAATGTTTTGTCAATCAATCAATCAACAATATTCATTGCATTTTTTTGGAAAAAAAATAAAAATATAATTTTATTATCACAAAATTATTAACACAATGATACGAATATATGATAACATGCAAACATGCAACTATAGATGGACACGTCATGCACGTTTATTACAAAACAATAAAAGAAAATTAAAATTTTAATTTAAAAAAAAAAAAGGTAAGCAATTATATATATGTATGCATGTGATAAACATAACGATACAGTGATAAATGCGACACATATCAGTGACACATGACATTTTGATATGATAAAATGATAACGTTGAAATCTTCTTGCATGCTAATAAACATGCATTTTGACTAATAAAGTACTAAAATTTACTTCTCCTAAAAAAATTATCAAATTATTGTGAATTTGAAATTAAATTAATTTATGTTTAATAGTAAAACTAACAGTGAAATATTTACTGATAGACTAATGATCAATGATAAAATTAAGATAATTTATCATTGAAATTAGAAAAAGAAAAAAAAAGAAGAGGAAATCAAAATATGTTAATAATTTAACAATATTATCTGATTATTTCATTCTAAAAATTAATACTATAAAATAAATAATTTCAAGAATAAAATTTAAAAAAAATTTTAAACAAAAAATAAATTTTTAATTGTTGCGATGAATCAATTGTGATAATTTCAGTAATTATCATTTGACATTTATTAGCTTCATATTTAGCACTGTAATCTGCGTCCTTTTTCATTGTAACTTTTGGTGAAACTAAATGAAACAAAAGAAAAAACAAACAAATATTAATTAAATAATTGATTAATTAATTGGAATAATTTTATTGATGTTATATATTTTACTGTTAAATTATATATTTACAATATGTTAAATTATATATTAAATTATATATATACTGTTAAATTATATATTTTATTGGTTGTTTTGCTTTTTTTTTTTAATTTCATACTGTACTTTATTTTTTGTTTCATATTATTTATTCAAAACTAAGAAATTATATTATATTTATTAGATAACGAAATAAAATTAAAAAAAAAAAAAAAAAACTTTTAATAGTAAATTAATACGGTGAGTTTATTTTTGAAATTAATGAAAGAATAAAATTTAAAAAAGAGAAAAAAAATTTATTTCTCTTTCTAAAAAAAAATAAAATGTCATCCATTTGCTGCTAGTAAAAATTGCTTTAACGTTTAATAGGAAATAAGAAAATGATAAAAAAGAAAATGGCAAAAAATTTTCATTTCTTGAAATAACTGCAAAAAAATAATTTGAAATCGATAAAATGCATATTTGTTTCATTTGAAAGAATGGAAAATTTTTATTTTCCATTCTAATATTCAAATTCTTTCAATTTTTGCTAATTTTAAAATCATTTTAAAAATTTTAAGATTCTTCCTTCCATTACTTCATTTATCAATAATCAGTTAAATTTCATAGATTATTATTAATTATTCCTTTTTCATCTAACAAAAATATTTTTATAACAAATTATTTTCATAATTATTTTCATATCAAATGTTGAATAGTACTTACTTATCATAGTTTACTTTTATCTTTTAAATTATCATTTCAAATTATTGAACAAATATTATGCAAAATTTTAATTTTGATTTTACAGGAAATTTCTTTCTTGAATATCTTCTAATGGTAAGAGAAAAAATCAATTACTGTTACTTAAATCCGAAATTTTCAAATTTTTGAAATTTTAATTCAATTTTTTATTTATTAATTTTACCTATTATAAGCAAAATTTGAGTGAATAAATGAATGAACAAAAAGTGAGAAAAAAATTACAAAAAAAATTTTTAAATTTATTAAACAAACTTGTTTTGTGACATTCGTCGCAAATATTTCGCTTCCTCAAAACTTCGCATTTCAACTTCGTTCCGAAATTGATCCATCTCTTGTAAACGCTTCCTTCTTCAATTATTTGAATTTAATTTCAATTTAAAATTCAACAATTTGAAATTTAATAATTTGAAATTAATTGCTATTAAAATAGTATCTCTTCAATTATTTGAAATTAATTTCAATTTAAAATTTAATAATTTGAAATTAATTGCTATTAAAATAGTATCTCAAATGTTTTTATTAGAAATTATAGCTGCAAAAATTAAATAAAAAAAATTTTTTTTCTTGTCTCTATGAAATTTGATTGAATGTTTTTATTTTTTAACACTTTAAATCAACATCTTATGCTAATTTGTCATACTAAAAAAAAGTAAATCATAAAAAGTAAACTTTAAACTTTACAAACGGATCACTTTTTTGATCATAAAAACTTGTAACATTTAACAATTGCTAATTCATTACATAGATAAATTGTTTGAATAAATTTAATCAAAGAAAAAAAAAATTTTAATTTCACGAAAAAAAAAATTTTTTTTCGAGAAAGAAAATAACTTGAAAAATGATCGTTTAATATCAAATAAAATAAGCGAATGAAAAGAAAAAAAACGGCTAAAATTATTAAAAAAAAAATGAAATTATTATTTGAAAAAATTTTATGAGTAATATTTTAAATAATAAAGAAAGTTTTTTTTTTTGAAAAAAATTTGATAAATTTTAGAAAAAGATGATAATTTTAAAAATAATAGTTTAATACCAAATAAAATAAACGAATGAAAACGAAAAAAAGGAAAAAAAAGATATGATAAAATTTATTTTAAAAAAATAAAATTATTATTTGAAAAAATTTTGTGATAATATTTTAAATATTAAAGAAAGTTTTTTTTTTAAAAACAAATTTGATAAAATTACCTGTAAGAAATCCTAAATTCATATGTTAACCAAATAGCAGCAACCAAAAGTGCTGTTAAAAATAAGCCAATTGCAATAAAAAGTAAAATTACACGGAAGTGATAACTCTCACAACAATTTAATTCGTCACATTCCCATGTAAATGCTTGTGGACATTCAACCTTCATTTCAACTGTAACAAAAAAAAAAAAATAAAATTTAATTAAAATTAAAAATAAATTTGAAAACGAAAAAAAAAACGAAATTTATTTGATCAAAAATATATTGCTGCAAAAAGTTAGAATTTAACAAATAATAAAATTAAAAAAAAAAAAAGAGGAAATTTATATTTGATATGATTCAACTCTTTAAAAAAAAAAAACATAGTGGAAATTATCTTCTGTCAACAATTTATCAGGTTGACAAGTTGACAAGATATTATCAGAAATGTGACAGTATACTGTCGGAAATGAAACGAAGGAATGTGTGTATACTACTGGACAATTATTTTTGAAAATGAAAGAAAATAAGGATGAAAATTGAAATAAAACTCATCGATTTCTTTTTCACTCATTTTTCTTCCCTCTCTCTCTCTCTCTCTCTCTCTCTCTCTGTCTGTCTACCCCTCTCTCTCTCTCTTTCTCTCTTTGATAGATGGATACAAATAATTACACGAAACAAAAAGATATTAATGAGGAACTTCTAGAAGATTTCTTTTTTTTTTTAAAAAAAAAAGTTTTTAACTATACAATGTAAGAAAACTTTTATATTAAATTTTAATGACCAAAGATTGTGTTTAAAATAAATTTTACATTTAAAAATTTAAGTATAAAAATGATAAGAATAGAAATTATATGAAAAAGAATTTACTTTATTATAATGCTAACAATTGTAATAAGTAATTTTTCATTTTTTATTTTTTAGACAGAATAAATTTGTTGACAAAATAAGCCCTGACATATATTTCAAAATAAAATTTAATTTTAAATTATTTTCCAAGTAATTGGAGAATTTTTGGTTGTAAGTTTTAAAATAAATTTAAGTATAATAAATTTTAAATTTAATTTTAAAATAATAAAGTTAATTAATATGCAAAAAAAGTTTTAAAAAATCACTTTGAAGCAAACTTTTAATGTAGAAATTTATTAAACTCGCATTTATGAATGATTATAAATATATTTTAATATTAAAATTAATTTAATCACAGTTCCAAATGCGATTATATAAGGAATTTCTTTCTTTCTTTCAATTCATTTATTTTTAAAATTTTCATTTTTAATTTTTAAACGAAATAAATTTGTTGACAAAATAAGCCTTGACATATATTTCAAAATGAAATTTAATTTTAAATTATTTTCCAAGTAATTGGAGAATTTTTGGATTTCTATTTTGAGCTCACTAACGACTAATTATTTTTATCTTTCTATTAGCATGAATAAGTAAAATGAGTGATTTTTTGGTGAAATTAAAAGTAATATAAGATTTAAAATTAATTTTACTGCTTTAACGAAAATAAAAACAATTAGTAAACCAAATTGAAATTTTAAAAATTCTTCAAGAACATTTTTTTTTTTTTTTTTTTGTAGCTATAAATCTGAAATGAAAATGTTAAATTTATTGCATCACATGTGTCTAGCCTATTTCATTTAATTGTTAGAATTATTAATCTAAAAATTTTAATACTTTTCAAAATTCAATATTTTTGATTACAAGGAAGTAAAAAATTATTTCTAATATATTTTACAAATTCTAATATATTAAAATCTTTTTATCCTTTGAATTTTTTTTACTTCTGTTTTTTACTTATCAGCTTACTGCTTCTTACTTTTGATAGAATCAATGATAATAACTTATCATTAGTATGTTACTAAATTTATCTTTAACCTTTGCCAATTTACTTCATCACTAATTTATCGTCGTTTTGTATTAATTATCATTTTTATTAATTAAAATTCCAGTTAATAAGTTACAAATTATATTGTAAATGTTTATTAATTTCATTTATATAAAATTGCTTATTGCATCAAAAAGTTTTGTTCAGTAATTATTAACAAATATAAATTTAAGCACATGATAACATTTTCAAAATAACAAAAACAAAAGCTTACAGTAATATACAAAATTTATCCGAAAAATTTTGTCAGATTTATTCAAAATTTATTAAATTTAGTATTTTATAATAGATATTGCATTAGGTGAAAAAAAAAAATGTAAAATGAGAAAAGTAAATAACAAACAACAATAAATAAATAATAAACAAAAGAAAAGATTTCTTTTTTTTTTGCTATCGTTTACAGTTAAAAATGAATTTTGTTCGATTTTCTTTTAATTGAAATAAATAAACAAACAAACAACTAATGCATTGAGAAGAAATTACTATGCGTTATCATAAGTTTATTTCTTAATTAAAATAAATTTTATTAATTATCAGAAATAATTTATTACAATTAACAAATTCCACTCATTAATAATTGTAACTTTTTCAGCTTCATAAGTTATTACTGATTGTATATTTCCGGAAACAATATCTGATCGGAATGAAAATTAGACTAAACATTGAAAAATGTCTTATTTACACCAACAAAACCATATAATTTATTAATTGTAATGGAAGAACTTATAATAGAAACTAATATACAAAATAATACATAATCTCATGTTTGTAGGAAATATTCAAAGAGTATAAAATAATAAGTATGCAAAATAAAACTTGTTGATAATTACAAATTCGATTCATTCAGGAAATTAAAATTTAATTTATATTTTTATTTATCAAAATTATCGTTTGCGTATTTGTTATTAACCTTTTTCAGTGGTAAATAATTAGTTAACTAATTGTTAATCAAAAATTGAAGCAATTTTTTTGAGCAATTCTGTAATTTAGCCAATTAAAATAAATGAAAATAAAAGAATTTCAAATTTAAATAAGGAATTTAAAATAAGGAACAAAGAACACAACTTTTCTTTAGAAAATCAATTAATATACTTGGCGATATTTGCATATTGCAATAAAAATTTGTAAACTATTCAGTTAGTCAATTAATTGATCATTTAATATAATACTTCATTACATGAATGTAGCTTAATTTATTTAAATTTTTATTTTCTTTGAATTTAGAGCTATTTCAATGATTGCTATCATGAAGATATTATTTAATCAGTAATGATAAAATTTAATCAATAATGATTAGTAATTGATATTCTATATTATTATATATTTCAATATCTACTATCACCCAAATCTTAATAAAATTCGACAAAATTCCCCCTTTATTGACTAATTAATTTCATTATTAAATCTATCTCAGACATTTCAATTTTGATTTACAAGTAACAAACAGTGGCATATAGTATTATAAGCTCAAAAGTATCCCAAGATATCAAAAATAATGTTCGCAAAAAAAAAAAAAAATTAAAATTATTCACTTTATTTTGAAGCTTAAAATTAACCTCCTGAATTTTTGAAATTGAAAATAAAATATATTTTAATTTGTTTTAATGTTTTCATCGTTTCATTTGCATTTTAAAGAGATTTTTTCAATTTGTTGTTTTTATCATTTAATAAATGGCTTAAGAAATGCTTCATCTAATTTAAAAGTATCAGTAAATAGGTTGGGGAAATTTTAGTTTCAGGAGAAGAGAAAAAAGAAATAAATGTAGAAAAAATGATGAAAAAAAAAATTGATTTAAATCAAAACATTTTCTTTCTTTATCAAAGATAAGTTTTTCAAATAGCTAAACATATTAATCATTCAATGTTTCTCTTAAAATTCACTTCAAATTTGACAATAAGTATAAGAGAAATGGAAAATATCAACAAATACTAATATTAAACAACGATTAATAAGTGATATAAGATGTTGAACAAATTAAAAAAGTTGAGGAAAAAATTGAAAATTGATATTTTTTTTTGAATTAAATTTAAAAAAACTGGAAAAATTACTGACAAGAAAAAATCTTCTTTTTTTCTTATTATGAATAAATAAATTCCATTTAATTATGATATAAATAATATTTCAAAGATGTGACTTTTATAAAAATTTTAGTCGAACATTAAATTTGTTTTTTAAAACTTTTTTTTTCACTTGGTATTTTAATTGATCATATGAAATAGTAAAAATCAGTTGGCTAAACTAATGACGGATAGCAATCAGCAATATGTTGATCTGAAAACGAATTACTATATGACCACACAGATGTACACACACACACACACACACATGCACACACACACATTTTTATATGTGTGTGTGAAAGATTAGCATTGCTAAAGGCTAAGAGGAATAGATGAGTAAACAATATAGCACAATTTATCAATTTCAAGCTAGATAGACTAGAAGAATGAGGTAGATAAAGCAACAAATTGCTTGACGAGATGAAATAGTGATGAAAATAATTATAGAAAAGTGATAACAGTATTGATAGTAAGAATGATGATAACGGTAATAATGTTGATATGATGATATGAATAGTAATAGCAACGGCAATTATATTAATGATAATAATGATATTGATGTTGGTTGATGATGTTGGCAATAATGGTGACAACGGCAAGTATATTGATGATAATGATGATATTGATGCTGGTTAATAATGATAATAATGGCAACAATGGGAAGTGTATTTAATGATGATGATGACAATAATGTTAGTCGGTAATGACAATAATGGTGGCAAAAATGGCAAGAATATTAATGATAATGATGGTAATGCTGTTGGTGGATGATGATGATAAAAACGATAGAAATGGCAAGTATATAATGTTGTTAGTGGATGATGACAATAATGATGATAACAATGGCAAAGATATTAATAATAATGATGGCAATGATAATTGAATTGACGGATTTCTGCCATTTAACATCTGAACAAACTTTTGCTTGCGAAAAATTTTCCATTCATTCGTATAAACAACTTTTAAGTTTGAAAAAAAAAACAATGGAAGAGGGAAATGAGAGATAAATAGAGAGAAAGGGAAAGAGAAAGAGAGAAAAAAGAAAGAACAAAATAATTGTACAAACAACTCATTTATTTCTCATTGGTGAATTTGTAATAAATTAATTTTAGTAGAAAGAAGAAATAAAAAATTTATTTTCTTTCTTTCTTTTTTTTTTGACTTTTAAATTTTGAAACAATTAATAGATATGAAATAAACAATGGGAAAATATAGCATATGTAATTTACTTGG